TCACATGGTTTCGGGGCGCTCGGCGTTGAAATCCTAGCGGAACCGAAAGGGTTGTCGCGTGAGTTCGGCGCGCGCGCGCGCGAAGACGCGCGCTCGCGCACTTCGTCCCGTTTCTGCAAGGCGTTATCGGAAACTAATAAATGTTGATCGAACAAGCCGGCGCGCTCATCATTTTGGGGCAAGGGGCGCGGGGGGGGGGGGCGGGGGGGGGCGACGCCGACCTGCGCGGGGCGAAATTGAAGCATGTCTAAAGTGGGCGACGTGGCAGAACCACGCGTAAATTGCAACGCGCAAAGGGGGGCGGGCAAGTTCGGGGAAGGGGGGGGGGGGTCCTGGTGCTCTCTTGAAGAAGAAATTCGACGCGGCACAGTTGCTTCTTACAAACGCGTCGACAAAGTCCACGCTCTCGCAGACGCCCCACCCACCCGCCCGCATCGTGGTTTGCAAACCCACGCGGCGGTGAATATGAGGGCCGCGACAACCCTCTACCCCAGGCCCCAGGGCAAACTGCCCATAGCAAAAAAACGATAGTGTCTTTTTCAAAGGGCATGACCAGGCAACGACGACTTTCAATTTTTTTGAAACATCCAGAAAGAGTTACAGCATTAGCCGCGCGACCGCTCCATTCGCAACACGCACCTTTGCCCCAAGCACATGCGCGCTTGCCTCCCGCGGGGGACGTTCACAACCACGCGATTCGCCCCCGACAGGTCGATGCGCTGCGACAGAGCGCGGCGAGGAACACATCATGGCAGCGGACGCTGTTCTGGCACTGACAACTGCGCGCCCATATTTTCAAAAAAAGGCAATATCGCGACGACTCCACGCGCCAGGCAGACTGAGTTTTCAAACGCATATATCGGCGCATTGGGCTTCAAATATGTTGACGCGCGTTTCACGTCACATTGGCAGCCCGAACGAAGCGCAACAAGACATTTAGGGGCCGAGCTCGAGCCCAAGACAAGCGAATGCCAAACAATCGTTCCGCTACCTATATAACTTGCCACGATCACCTGGCTACGTTGAGTAACCTGACCCGCCAATGCGTGCCAGCAAGCTGGGGGCTGCGGCACGTCGCACGCACGCCCCCGGTCCCCATGGGAACCACCAATCATCCGATCGCAATGCGACGAACTACGTTGTGCGCGCGGGCACATGCCTGCACGCGCTCTGGCGCGCATGCGCCGACGTGCGCACGGGCGCACGCACGCGCGCGCGCGGTCGCGCGCGCGCTGTTATTCGCGCCCGCACGGGCGAATATTTGAGCCAACCGCCAGAGCTCGACGATTGCGTCGAGGGCGAATCTTCGAGCCAACCGTCAGAGTGGACGAGGAGGAGGAGGAGAAGATGGAGGAGCAGGGCGAGGGGGGGAAACGGAGGAGGAGGGAGGAGGAGGGAGGAGGGGGGCAACGAAGGAGCAGGAAGGAAAATGCGGAGGGGGAGATCAGGAATGGGGCGAGGCACGGAGGAGGAGGAGGACGAGGAGCACCAACGCCCCATCCGATTCCAACCCATACACATTAACGTCACCACCTGGTGATATTTTCTTCTCAAGCTCAGCGCAGTCGCATTAACTGGCGCAATGTCCACGCCGTCAGCTGTCGGCACGATTAGCGGTCTGCTAGGGCTCCAACGAGCGCCTCCCACACAGCCAGGCGGAGAAACATTGCACATTCACGAGTTCTTTGGATGGCCGCGGTAGCACCAGTTAAAACGGTAGCGGAGCGCATCCAAAACACAAGCCGATGCCAATCATTTCAACTAGGGTCCTTACTGAGACTAGGGGGCCAAACTGAATTGGAGGTAACTGTCTTCACGATGTCGGCTGTGCTGCTATGGCGCCGACGCCCTGCTGGAGAAAGGATGGGGGGGGAGGGTGTCTGGGACATGACCGCTGCGAGGGTGATAGTGTCGATCGGCATTGGCATTGGCAATGCGGTGGACACATTGGTAGTGTTGTCAACGGTGATGCGTACATACATGACGATGGGGACGTTGGAAACACAACAATGCAATTACAGATCACGTTCATGATGGTGGTGGTGATGACGATGGCGATGATGATGGCGATGGTGAAATGGTGGGCTGATCGCCACGCTAATGGTTCAAGCGGCAATCGCCGACAATGCGACGATGATGCAGATGAAGCTGCAGAGGGCGATGCATCTATTGCGGTAGCGATGGTGGTAGAGAGGGAATGCACAGCGAGGTGTTACACTACCCCATCGCCCTGGCAGCGCCAACATTACATGACCATCGTCACGTTACCTCCAGCTTACTGCTGTGCTGAGGTCTTCAATGAAGCCTCTAGGAAAACCATCCACTCCTTGCAGCTAAGCTGGAGAACAGGGTAACTCGAAATCATTTGCGTACACGAACTCAGTACAACGCGCAACTCGGGCGCAACTGCTTGCTGAAAGGCTGTGCCACTTGAGCCACGTGGCATCGCCAAGGGAAATGCACATGCAGAAGAAACCAGGCGGCACCCAGGCGGCAGCGCCCGCTGTGCAGTGCATGAAGAAGCCGTGTTCGGTAACCATATTGTGCATGCTGTCCGGGCTGGCCTCCATCAGCTTGCTCACCTTCTCAGCGTAAGACTTGCCCTCGACATGCTCGCCCTGCACGCAGACGAGCAGCAGACCTCCCTTCAACACGATGGTCCACTGGCCGAGGCCGAACGGGTTGAACCCGACATTCACGAACTTCGCGCTGCTGCATTGCATGCCCAGGGCGAAGATGGACGGAAGACACGAGTGCAAGACGCTGAAGGGTTTCTCTAGGCTCGGATCTTGAAGAACACTGCAGATGGCCTTGGTGATGTCCTCGTAGTGCTTGGGCTTATCCAACATGGCACTCGCGGCATCCTTGCCCCCAAGCTGCGACGCCAACCACTTCGCGAGGATGTCGACGACCTTCAGCGCCTCGAGCGTGTCCTTCAGCGCGGTGTCATTCACAAACCTGGGACGTGAGCGATCCCACTGATCATCCTTCTCGAGCGCCTTCTGGACGATCGGCCCAGACTTCGACTGCCAACCTGTGCAACACCCCTCCTCGAGTCACACATGGTTGATGTAGCGGGTGCGGATCTTCTCGTGCGCGGGGACGTGGACCTCGCCAGTGGCCTTCTCCTCCTCGGGGTTCGCCTGCGCGCCCCTCAGGTCGCCCATTTCCTTATTCTTGATGAGGCTGCGCAATGTCGATATAGATCTGAGTATGCCCTGAAAGGCCTTGTTCTTGTCAATGCGTTGCTTCTTCAAACTCTCAAGGTGCTCCTTCATGCCCTTCGTGGTTGCCTCCCTGTTGAAAGCGGCCCGCAACTCCTCAATCGCATCGCAAAGCTCCTTGGACACATTCTCGCACTGCTTCGGCGCATTCGCCAGGATAGCGAAGGCCTCTGTCGCGTTCTCGTTGTCGGAGCCGATCTTCTCCTTGGCGGCCGCCACCACCTCGTTGACATCAGCGACCAACTGCCTGGAGGTGAACTGGAACAACTCCTTGCACTTCACGAACTCGGAGGCCCTGCTGACACGGTACTTCGAGATGTCGCCATCGCTTTGCTTCTCCTCCCCTTGCTGCGCCATGTAGATGCTCGCCTCCATGGTGTCCTGCGCCAACAGAGCGTCGAGCGCATCCTGGCGGCGCTCCTCCCGATTGATCTCGTCTTCGATCATCCTCGAGTGGTCGTCGATAGATTTCGCGAAATCGTCAAAGTCCGCCAAGTTCTCGATCAAATCGTCTGGGATGGCGACAGGCGCCTGCGTGATCTCTGACATGGCGGAGTCGAGGAACGCTTGATGACTACTGGATGCCTGCGATAGAACCTCCTGCGCCTTAGCCTTCGCGTCTTCGAGCTCCTGTAGTGTCTTGATCTCCTTCTTCGTCTTGAGCTTGGTCGACGTCGTGTTCGACTTCTTCGCGTCGAACAAGATACCCTCGAACCGACTGATGCAAACCTGCCCCTTGTACTTAATCTTCTTGATTGACTTGTCCAGAATCGTCTCCTTCCACTTGGCTTTGATCTTGTCTTCGCCCCAGCCCCTCATTTCCCCTTTCTCCTCGAAGACTGAATACGGGATGGCCGTGACCCTCTCAGTCGTGTCCCTGCTGACGGCCTGAACCTCCTCGATCTCGTGCTCGACCAAGCTCCCCTCGGCATGCCCGGCGAGTGCATCGGCGGTGTTCCTGATGAACCAATCAATCTTCTCCTGTGTATTCACGCCGTCCCACGCTTTTGCCAGGGCTTTGTTTTCTTGTTGTGTCGACACCGACGTTTGTATGCTGTGGCGCAAGCGGCATGCACCATCTGCTTGCTCCTCGCGCCTCCCAAGGCCCCTTCGGTCCCCGGCAGCACAAGCCGCGCACGCGTGCAGCACGCGGTCAGGTCACCCTCGGCCTCAGGCGCATCGACGCTCGCACCGCCACCCTGCGCGCCAAGGGCGTCGAAGTCCACGGCGGGCGAGTCGCTGGCGGACGGTCCAGCGGACGCTCTGGCGGCGCCAGACCCATCAAGCCCATCAGGCGTCTTAGTCCCCGACACGGGCGCCCCAGTCCCCGACGCAGGCGGCTTGGGCAGCGGCGTCTCCTGCTGCTGCTCAGGCCTTCTTGAAAAACGCTGACGGCGGGCCCGACTTGACAACCTTGGTCTTGGCCTTGGGCCCCGCCGCCCCAGTCTCAGAAACACGTCCCCCCATTGCAGCAACAAAGTAGTGCAGGATACAAGGCGCAAGGAAAAAGGAACGCAAGTGGTTCGCACAAAAAAACTGGACCGCGCATGGCTAGGGATAAGAGGATAAGGAGGACGATTGGATAAGGAAAACCTCATATGAGGAACCCACGGTCTCGTCGATTACAAATCGCCAAACGCGGCGGCCCTGGTCGCCTCGACGAAATCAAGAATCTGCCAGAGTCGCGGCCTGGAGTCGAAATTCCTCATCAAACGCCTCCACTGAATCTGGCCTCATCGCCACCTCACATCACCGTGACTGCACATTCAGAACACGGCCAACATACCCAATGCGGCGCTACATGGATCCGCACGCACAACGGGTACGGCACGGCACCGCACCACACAGCATTTCGCAATGTCACGTGGCACCGCGCAGGCCCCACGGCACCATATGGGCAAGGACTTCGACGCACCGCCGCACAGCACCGCACGCGACCCTTCGCTCAAACATCAGGACCCAAAGGTTGTAATGTTTACTGCCAAAGGAGGACCCAACAGTTTGTGATATTGACTGCAATGGTTGTGAGATTTACTGCCAAGGTTGGGACCCGAGCATGCCCTTTCCGCAGAATCGCGCACTGGAGACACCATAGACAAACCGAGAGCAAACATTATGTCGGGGTCTGGAAGAACTCGTGCTGCCCAACTATATTGAAAATGAAAGGTAATATCGCGCACGCACGCGCTCTCACACGCGCGCACACGCATATGCATAAAACCCGAGAGCAAGAACCCTGCCAGAGTCGGGAAGATTTCTTGCTGTCCAACTGGCCTAAAACGATGGAAAATTTTATTCGCGCACACGCGCATTCACACGCGCACAAACACGCGCGCGCACACGCGCGCACACACACGCATTAAAAGCGAGAGCAATAAATCTGCCAGTGCCTGGAAGAATTCTTGCTGCCCAACTGCATTTAATACGATGGGAGACTTATGCGCGCGCACTCAAACGCGCGCGCGCACGTATGAATAAACACCGAGATCAAGAATCCTGCTAGAGTCTGGGAGATTTGTTGCTGCCCAGCTGCACCGAATAAGGAATAAGGGCAACTTGAATCGCGCGCACACGCGCTCACACAACAAAGTCGGGTTGCGTGGGTGGGTGGGTCGGTGGGCGATGGCGTCGGCGGTGCTGGTGGCGGGGGGTGGGAGGAGGGGGAAGAAGGGTGGGCGAGTGGGCATGGGGGGGGGGGAGTGTGCTGGGGGTGATGTAAGGTGGGGCGCGGGGGTGGGAGGGGGGGAGGGGGGGGGCGTTGGGGTGAGATGCGGTGGGTGGTGGTGGTGGTGGTGGTGGTGGTGGTGGTGGTGGTGGTGATGGTGGTGGTGGTGGTGGTGGTGGTGGGGTGGTGGTGGTGGTGGTGGTGGTGGCGGTGGTGGCGGCGGCGGCGGCGGCGCGCGGTGTGCGGGGGGGGGGGGGGGGGGGGGCAGCGACGCCGTCTGCGAATGTGTCGACAGCGCGCCTGGATCTGCGAGCGGGGGGCCCGCGTGACAAGGCTTGGTCAAAATGCTTCTTGAGAAGGTGGCAAGAACTGACATGAGAAGTAGGCGCGTCACTCGGCCTCCTTAAGGCTCCGCAGAAAAATTGAATTAAGTCTGCGGCATTACACGGCGACCTTCTTATTGTGGACAATGCAAAACTCCCCGCGCGCGCGTGGTGAGTTCTGCAATAGCCACAATGGAAAGTCGGCGCGTGCGTTATCCCCTTTAAAGCCAATCAGGGAATTTGGATTCAGTTTTGAGAATAGCAATGCTGCCTTTTCGTCGTGGACAGTACAGAGCTCCCCGCGCGCGCGCGTGGGGAGCCACCCCTGGGCTGTCCACAGTGGAAGTTCGGCGCGTCCGTCTGCCTCCTTTCAACAGAAAATTTGAATTCAGATTTTGGAATGACAATGCGGCCTTTTCATTGTGGACAAGACAGAACTCCCCACGCGCGCGCGTGGGGAATGGAAAGTCTGCGCGTCCGTCGGCGCGTCGGCCTCCTTAAAGCGCCACAGAAAATTTGAATTTAGTTTTTGGAACTACAAGGCGACATTCTTCTTATTGTGAACAATACAGAACTCACCATGCGCGCGCGCGGAGGGGAGGGCCCTGCATCGTCAACAATGAAAAGTCGTCTGGCCCGCCTGCCTCCTTGAAGCTCCACAGAAAATTTGAATTCAGTTTTGTGAACTGCCATGCTGCCTTTTCATTGCGGACAATCCAGAACCCCTCGCGCGCGCGCTGATTTCTGCACTGTCCACAATGGAAAATCGGCGCGTTCATCGGCCCCCTCAAAGCTCTACAGAAAATTTGAATTCCGTTTTTGGAATCACACGGCGGCCTTTTCATTGTGGACAAGACAGGACTCCACGCGCGCGCGCGTGGGGAGTTGGAAGTCTGCGCGTCCGTCGGCGCGCCGGCCTCCATAAAGCGCCACAGGAAATTTGAAATCAGTTTTTGGAATTACAAGGCGACCTTCTTCTTGTAAACGATACAAGACTCCCCACGCGCGCGCGTGGGGAGTTCTGCGCTGTTGCCCACAATGAAAAGTCTGCGCGTCCGTCAGCCTCCTTTAAGCCCCACAGAAACTTTGAATTCAGTTTTTGGAATCACAAGGCTGCCTTTTCATTGTGGGCAAGACAGAGCTCCCCACGCGCGCACGCGCGTTGGGAATGGAAAGTCTGCGCGTCCGTCGGCGCGTCGGCCTCCTTAAAGCGCCGCAGGAACTTTGAAGTGAGCTTTTGGAAGTACAAGGCCACCTTCGTCTTATTGTGAACAATGCAGAACTCACCACGCGCGCGCGCGATGGGAGTTCTGCACTGTCAGCAATGCAGAATCTGCGCGCCCGCGGGCCTCCTTAAAGCTCCACAGAACATTTAAATTCAGTGTTTGGAACCACAGGGCGGCCAATTCATTGTGGAGAAGACAGAACTCCACACGCGCGCGCGTGGGGAGTTGAAAGTCTGCGCGCCCGTCGGCGCGTCGGCTCCCTTAAAGCGTCACAGAAAATTTTGAATTCAGTTTTTGAAACCACAAGGCGACCTTCTTATTGCGAACGGTACAAGACTCCCCACGCGCGCGCGCGTGGGGAGTTCTGCATTGTCAACAATGAAAAGTCGGCGCGTCCGTCGGCCTCTTTAAAGCTCAACAGAAAATTTGAATTCAGTTTTGGCATTACAAGACGGCCTTTTCATGATGGACCAAACAGAGCTCCCCACGCGCGCGCGTGGTGAATGGAAAGTCTGCGCGTCTGTCGGCGCGTCGGCCCCCTTAATGCGCCACAGAAAATTTTGAATTCAGTTTTTGAAATTACAAGCGGCCTTTTGCTTATTGTGACCAATACAGAACTCGCCACGCGCGCGCGCGTGGAGTTCTGCACTGCCAACAATGAAGAATCTGCGCGCCCGTCGGCCCCCTTAAAGCCCCACAGAAACTCCGAATACAGTTTTAAGACTAATCACAAGGCGGCCTTTTCATTGTGGACCAGACAGAACTCCCCACGCGCGCGCGTGGGGAGTCCTGTATCGTCCGTCGGCGCGTCGGCCTCCTTAAACCTCCACAGAAAATTCGACCTCAGTTATTGGAATTACGCGGCTGCCTTCTTATTGCGAACACTACAGAACCCACCACGCGCGCGTGGGGAGTTCTGCATTGTCAACAATGAAAAGTCGGCGCGTCCGTCGGCCGACTTAAAAGCTCCATGGAAAAATTGAATTCAGTTTTGGGAATTGCACGGCGGCCTTCTTATTGTGGGCGATGCAGAACTCACCACGCGCGCGCGCACAGGGAGATCTGCACTGTCAACAATGGAACGACAGCGCGTCCGTCGGCCCCCTTAAAGCGGAACGCATGTGGCCAGAAAACATACCGCGGAACGCGCGTGGCCAGAACAACCCGCGGAACGCCAAAGGTCAACATGCCCCGCGGAATCCGCGGGACGCCTGTGGCCAAAATATCCCGCGGAACGCACGTGGCCAAAATATCCAGCGGATGCCGTTGTTGCACCAACTATGGCGCTGACTCTCGATGTAAATTCACATGTGCGCGTGCGCGCGCGTGCGTGTGAGAGAGAGAGAGAGAGAGAGAGAGAGAGAGAGAGAGAGAGAGAGAGAGAGAGAGCACGCGCGCGCGTGCTTCAATTTTTCCGAGGAGCGCACGTAGCCAGAATATCCCGCGGACAGCGCGTGGCCAAACACCACCCCCCGGAACGCGCGCGGCCAAAACACCCCGCGGAACGCCAGGGGCCAAACTACCCCGCTGAACGCACGTGGCCAACATATGCCGCGGAACGCCTGTGCCAAAATGTCCCGTGGATGCTGTTGCTGCACAAACTATGGCGCTTCCTCTCGATGATTATTCATATGTGCGTGTGTGTGTGTGTCTGTGTTCGTGCGTGCGTGACTCAATGTTCCCTCATGTTGAATGCAGTTCGGCAGCTAGTATTCGTCCAGGCACTGGCAGATTGTTGCACTCGCTTTTTATGCATATGCGCGTGCG